ACTCACTCACTCATACACTCACTCATACACTCACTCATACACTCACTCACTCATACACTCATTCATACACTCACTCATACACTCACTCACTCATACACTCACTCATACACTGACACACTGCTTCCTGTGTCACGTGACACCATTCTGTAGTACTCACACGTGACACACACTCACTAGTACACTCATACACTCACTCACTCATACACTCACTCACTCATACACTCACTCACTCATACACTCACTCACCACTCATACACTCACTCACTCATACACTCACTCATACACTCACTCACTCATACACTCACTCATACACTGACACATTGCTTCCTGTGTCACGTGACACCATTCTGTAGTACTCACACGTGACACACACTCACTCATACACTCACTCATACACTCACTCATACACTCACTCACACACTCACACACTTACTCATACACTCACTCACTCATACACTCACTCATACACTGACACATTGCTTCCTGTGTCACGTGACACCATTCTGTAGTACTCACACCGTGACACACACTCACTAGTACACTCACTCACTCATACACTCACTCATACACTCATACACTCACTCATACCACTCACTCACTCATACACTCACTCATACACTCACTCACTCATACACTCACTCACTCACACACTGACACATTGCTTCCTGTGTCACGTGACACCATTCTGTAGTACTCACACGTGACACACACTCACTAGTACACTCACTCACTCATACACTCACTCATACACTCATACACTCACTCATACACTCACTCACTCACTCATACACTCACTCATACACTCACTCATACACTCACCTCACTCATACACTCATTCATACACTCACTCATACACTCACTCACTCATACACTCACTCATACACTGACACACTGCTTCCTGTGTCACGTGACACCATTCTGTAGTACTCACACGTGACACACACTCACACACTCACTAGTACACTCATACTCACTCATACACTCACTCACCACTCATACACTCACTCACTCATACACTCACTCACTCATACACTCACTCATACACTCACTCACTCATACACTCACTCATACACTGACACATTGCTTCCTGTGTCACGTGACACCATTCTGTAGTACTCACACGTGACACACACTCACTCATACACTCACTCATACACTCACTCATACACTCACTCACACACTCACACACTTACTCATACACTCACTCACTCATACACTCATTCATACACTCACTCATACACTCACTCACTCATACACTCACTCATACACTGACACACTGCTTCCTGTGTCACGTGACACCATTCTGTAGTACTCACACGTGACACACACTCACACACTCACTAGTACACTCATACACTCACTCATACACTCACTCACCACTCATACACTCACTCATACACTCACTCATACACTCACTAGTACACTCACTCATACACTCACTCACTCATACACTCACTCACTCACACACTGACACATTGCTTCCTGTGTCACGTGGACACCATTTCTGTAGTACTCACACGTGACACACACTCACTAGTACACTCATACACTCACTCATTCACTCACTCATTCACTCACTCACTCACTCATACACTCACTCACTCATACACTCACTCATACACTCACTCACTCATACACTCACTCATACACTCACTCATACACTCACTCATACACTCACTTCATACACTGACTCAATCATACACTCACTCACTCATACACTCACTCATACACTGACACACTGCTTCCTGTGTCACGTGGAACACCATTCTGTAGTACTCACACGTGACACCACTCACTCATACACTCACTCACTCATACACTCACTCACTCATACACTCACTCACTCATACACTCACTCACTCATACACTCACTCACTCATACACTCACTCCACTCATACACTCACTCACTCATACACTCACTCACTCATACACTCACTCACTCATACACTCACTCACTCATACACTCACTCACTCATACACTCACTCACTCACACACTAAGTCTGAGTCTGTGTGTGAGTCTGTGTGTGTGTGTACCTGTGAGTGTGTGTACCTGTGTGAGTGTCTGGGTGAGTGTCTGTGTGTGTGTGGATACCTGTGTGTGAGTGAGTGTCTGTGTGAGTGTGTGAGTCTGTGTGAGTGTCTGTGTGTGTGAGTCTGTGTGTGTGAGTGAGTGTCTGTGTGTGAGTCTGTGTGAGTGAGTGAGTGTGTGAGTGTCTGTGTGTGAGTCTGTTTGAGTCTGTGTGAGTGTCTGTGTGAGTGTCTGTGTGTGTGAGTCTGTGTGTGTGTGAGTGTCTGTGTGTGTGAGTCTGTGTGTGTGTGAGTCTGTGTGTGTGAGTGAGTGTCTGTGTGAGTCTGTGTGTGTGTGTGAGTGAGTGTCTGTGTGTGTGAGTCTGTGTGTGAGTGTCTGTGTGTGTGAGTCTGCTACCATTAGTAGAAGCAGTGGTGATTGTGCTTGCTGCTACTGTCGGTGGTGGTGGTGGCCGTGGTGGTAGTTGTGGTTGTGGCCGTGGTGGTGGTGGTGGCCGTGGTGGTGGTGGCCGTGGTGGTGGCCGTGGTGGTGGTGGCCGTGGTTGTGGCCCTGGTGGTGGTGGTAGTGGTGGTGGTGGTAGTGGTGGTGGCCGTGGTGGTGGTGGCCGTGGTTGTGGCCGTGGTTGTGGTGGTTGTGGCCGTGGTGGTGGTGGCCGTGGTGGTGTGGTGGCCGTGTGGTGGTGGTGGCGGCCCGTGGTGGTGGTGGCGGTGTTTTTCCACCCCTCGTGGTGTCTGGGATTTTTTTCCAACCTGCCTGCGCTGGGTGCTGCTGTACAGCGATAAATAAAAAGTTTCCGAGCTCCGAGTTTGTTGCCTTGTGGTTCGAGTCCCATGCAGAACAACATCAACAACATCAACAACAACAACAACAACCGCCATTCGCCACCAAGTGGCGGTGACGTCACCACGACGCTTGTGCCAGGCTATGTGCACCCTGAGGCCACGTGAAGTGTCGAACGCCCGCTGGCAGGAGGTCACGGGGCAGACCCAGGTGCCACGGGTCGACTGACTGAGATGACTGGCTGATGCACCACCTGTGCCCCCTACTGTGCCAACCCGCTGTGCTTTAGCCACCCGGCGCTCCGCTCGTTGTTGTGAGCGTCGCTCCTCCGCCCTCCGTCGTTGCTGGAGGGCGACTGCCTCCAACTGCCCAGTAGCCTCGAGGTGCACCTAGCCTGGCACCGTCCCCCAGTAGCCTCAAGGTGCACCTAGCCTGGCACTTGCCCGCTAGCCTCAAGGTGCCCCAGTAGCAGCGTCCTTCACGAGCCTCCTCCACAACAGAGGCCGATCTTGACACCGCTGGTACCAGTCATCGGCAAGTCCACTCAGCTCCACCGTCCTCCTGTACCACGTCACTCCATCCTCTTCCCCAGCCCGTGCCTCCTGTACCACGTCACTCCATCTCTTCCCCAGCCCGTGCCTCCGTACCACGTCACTCCATCTCTTCACTAGCCCGTGCCTCCTGTACCACGTCACTCCATCTCT